CGGGGCGTGCGGGCGGCCCCGGCGCGGCACCGGGCGCACGTGGAGGCGGCGGCGGGGCCGTCCCGCCGCGCTGCCCCGCTCCTGCTGCGGTACCGCTGCCCGGGCCCGGCGGGTGCCCGGGACACCGCCGCACTGGGCTCCCCGCAGCCGAGGCAAGGGCGGGTGGGCGGCGCGGGGGTCGTGGTGTGCCCTGGGGTCGGGTCGGTCAGTGCGAATGAGCTGCTGAGCATCGGGATGGGATGCGGTGAAACGGAGCGCTGCCCGGAACGATGGCCCCGTACTAGAGCAGAGCTGGGGTTGTCATTGCGTCTGCCTCCCCTTTGAGAACAGCCTCTGAAAAATGCCCCGATTAATAGTCGTGCGTGGGTCTCTGTCCCTGTTGGACAGCAAACTGAAAATCCGCGCTTACACATTTTCTTCAAGACATACCGTGTATTTTAAAATATATTTATATTGAAATAATCTGTGCGATTTGCCATATTTCCTCATTTCTGTGATTACAGTACAATAGCACTGACTGAATCCCATCTGAATGACGGCCTGCACAGACATAAGTAATTTATTTTTAAATGTCATAGCAGAAAAATGTAAGGTTTCTCAGCTGGGGATATAGCATAAAGGGGATGTACTTTAGTACTGAGATGAGAACAGTCTTTTTTGGTACTGATGTCCTTATAGAAAGAGCTAATCCTATTAAATTTGTCAAAGTCAGGGTACTTGCTTCTTCGGCCACCGAGTGACTTTTCAAATTTAATAATGGTTGACAAGCTCAGTTGCAGATAGTAGAAGAGGAAAGATGTAACTGAGCTCTGAAAGCAAATAAATGGCAGACAGCAAGATAAGGTTGTAGTCAAAAAGTAACAGTTATCTCCATGGCCCTTAAAGCAAGATGAGGCAAGAAACTGGCAGCTGCAATGTTCCTGTTTATCAAGTTTATTAGAGGAAACAGCATTTTAAGATAAAACATGAAAAAAATTTAAAATTTAAGAATATTGTTGGTGTACTGAGTTAAAAATTTAAAGGTTGTTTGCAGTGGAATGAAAGGCAATGGTGGCATACTCTGGTAACGACTGACTAAACTGCAAATACTACTTCTGTAAGGTATGATAGATAAAACATGAGGAATGTTGTTAGAACTTGCATATGCTAATTCTGTTGCAAGTTATTTCAAGCCAAAGTATAAATAGGCTCCAGCTCTGTTTCATAAGAGGAGAAATGCCGTAATTAACTGGCGATCAAATAAAGTTAATGTGTGTTGTTTGCTACAGGTTGAACTCATGAAGCAGTTGGTGGTTGGACCAAATTTAGCAGACCTTAACACTCTTTTGAACGTAGTGGTAAGAATGTGTTTGGCTGAGTGCTGTTGTGGGAATTAGAAGCCACTAGAGAAGGTACCAGACTGGTTGAGGTTCCATGGCTTGGCTGTATTTGTAATGAGATTCAGTTGTTATTGCTTAGAAACAGTTCCTCTATAGACTAGAAAAGAAGTGAAAAGTCACTTAGAAATTTTGGGCCTCAATAACATCGTACTTGTTATACCAAGAATTTGAGATTATAGAGAATGATTCCTTGTTCTCAACATGTAGATCTGAGGCTTTCCAGTCTCTTCAGAAGACCATGTGTAATGGATTCAACAAGGACGGTTGTACCATCTTTATCCTCCTATATGATATCAACCTCAACCTTTCCTGTGATTACTATGAAAACTATTTTAGTATAAAAAATGGCATAAAAGTGAATTCTGCAATGCAATACAAGCCATACCTCATCAACAATAGCAAATGTTTCCTTTCTCTGTTTTTTTCTTGTTTTGGTCATTTTCTCTCTCAAACTGGCTTGCTTCATAGAGGTTTCATGGATACATTTTTAGACCCTTTTGATCTTTTCAAAGGAAAGCAAATATTGCTCCCTCATGAGGTAGGCAAAGCTGACTGGGTTCAGGAAGCTACACTTGTTTGAAAGCAGTATAGGATGGCTGGCTTTTGCCACCCAGTGAGCAGCACACAAAGCCCGAGACCCAAACTGGCATTCCCAGCTCAACAATTCATCTGCTGGGCCGCAGGTTTTGCATTGTCTTTATTGACGCTTGCAAATCCCCACTACAAACCAAGGGGCTTTAGGCAAGGCCATTAATGTGTGCTGCCTTGTTTGGGCTTCTGACTGCATCTCTGCTGTGTGAATTAGAATATCATTGTACGTATGTGAACTGCACTGTTTGAACAGAAAATGGACTTGCAAAACTGCAAATGGCTTGTCACTGAGTGGCAGCATCAACTTACTAGAAACGTCATGAGGTGTTACTTTAGAGGAGAATTACTAAAGATTTGTGCCCTTTTATATTTGGTTTTGTTAGGGGTGTCTGTGAAAACCACAAGCAGATTCTGTTCGCAGCCTAGTACAGTTATGAAAGAATTTGGACGTTTTCTGTAGCAATGTTTGAACTTACATGTACGTGTCTGTGTAGAGTTATGCATGTTCATTTTTTCCTTCCCCACACAAACTTGTCAAGTCCCTTGTGCTGCATTATGACCTTCTGGCTGTTCTGCAGCTGCCGTATTGATTGAATAGTCATGACGTGGGTAGTTGTTTGAACAAATCAGTTTATCTAGAAGACAATGTAAGCATTGAGTTTGGCAAATAGTTCGTACTAAAAGTAAAAAGCACAGTATTCCTCCTCTTCTGCTACTATTAGACGTCTCTTCATTTTAAGAATAAATTGTCAAATACTCTGTGCATAATTGTTATCAGAAGCAGTCTTTTGTCATTACTGTTCCACTAGATTTTAGAAAGCTTGGTACTAGTGGCTGTAAAAAATATTGCTAATTTCACACATTTTAAATTTTTTTTAATAAGCTGACTTTTAATTTATCTTATTCCTTCATCAACTCTTTATAAATGAAAGAAGATTCTGAATATTTTAAGTTAGCTGTGACTAAGCTTTCAGTTAGAATTTAGTAAATAATTTTTCTTCCCCTTTTATCTCTTGGTTTGTTTTTTTTTTTTTTTTGGTTTGTTTTTTTTAATTTCACCTTGCTTCCCATTTGTATTCATTTCAGTTTTTGTCTTCATGGCTTATAGTTTTCTTACATTTCTGTTTCTTATATTGGCAAATACAGGTCACATTTTCCATGTTGGTACTTGTAATGCCCTCAGGTCAAAGAAAGATCTGAAACTCAAGCACTTTACCATGTTTGTTGCCAGGATTAATTTTTCTTCAGATGAATATTTAGTCCTCTTTAGAAATCAGACAAATGCTCTTGAGGACACTAGCAACAAATGTTGCTAATCTTGTTTTATTTAGGATGTAACAACAGTTACTTTCCCCTCCAAGCTGTGTTGACAGAAATACATCCAAAACAGGAATGACTTGCGGCTTGGAAACTCCTGTGCTCTTGCAGTGCAGGCACTGGTTTCCATTGTTCAGATGTGTAACTCTCAAATTACCGTTGTCAAGTGTCTTCACCTGGCCTTTGATGTAATCCTCTGGGATTTTGCAGAGCATGTGTCAGGTTTCCACAATTTTCTGTTCTTGTTTTGGAGAAACTTGTTGTGGTGTTTCATCCTTTTAATGGAATTCCTTGCTTTATTGTAGGGAGCATGTAACCTGAGGAAAAGGAGGTTGTGGGAACCTCTTTGTTCTCTGGACCACAGGCTCTCTTTCCTTACTGATGTTACCTGCAGCCCACCTGGCTGTTATGTTTAGACATAAGAGCCTTGGCCAATGCCTGATAAAGGTGCAGCTCTGCCTCGCTGGGATAAGTCCTTGCCTCCCTTAAGTCACTGGGACTAGTCCTGTCCCTGAGGCTGCTTGCAAACTGGATTACCTGGGAGAGAAGAGCCAGGGGAAATAGGCCTATTTCATCTTGAGTATTGAAATAGTGTTTTCCTGATATTTGAGTTCCTTCTTTTTCAACTAAAGGAACAGTTTAGGTGGGATTACTCACCTCATTGGATCTACTAATATTGCTTATGAACAGACAAGGAAGATGCCCAGGAAAGAGACTTGAATGAATGTAGAATTAGCTGACTGTGGTGTTAGTGAAGCAATGTCAAATTCTGTAGCACAAGACCTTGGCTTACTCTGCTGTTGCTAAGATGTATTTAATGTGGAAATCTTGGAAGCAGAATTCTGGCTTGTGATACAAGGTTGTGATATTGAATTTTAGTAGTTACTTACAGAGGCATGGTACACAAATATTTCACAAACCAGTTTCAGAAGCAGGGAATGGGTTGTTATCTAAAGGTCATTAATTACTATTTGCTGACAGTGTATTGGAAAACCTTATCTTCTTGAAAAAAGTAAATTGAATTTGCAGATACCATGTGAACACAATGTTTTTTTCAAGGCTGTTCATTTTTTTATTTACATAAGTTGATTCTTAAAATTTATTCATGTAATGTATAATAGTAGTACAAAATATTATTATTTATATAA